GCACTCCACCGCAGTTTCGTATAATTCACCAGCTTCCTTCCAGAGAGGTCCTGAAACTAGCAAGGGTTGGGTGGGTGGGAGTCAACTCTTGGGCCAAACAAGGCCTGGACTGAAGTCCCTTACAGGAACATCGTAAACACGATGTTATTCATCGCTCCCGCGTGAGGACGTGATGAAATCGTCCTCACGAGATATTGTACGTCAACAATATCTGCGATGATGAAACTGTTCTTCCCTAATTCGAAAAGCAACACTTATCCCTCCGCTATAGCTATGGGATAAATAGCTTTTCGACACCGGAGAAGAGCATTTGTGGATCTCAAACGCCGGACAGTTAGAATGTCATAGTTTTTTGTGGGAAAGGAGACTCTCGGAAATCTATGAGAAGGAACATGAATCTTATTCCTCGAAAACTCACTATTGAATATATTGGAGTGAGGGCACGGTGTGAATATCTTGGAACCGACGGGGAAAAAGGCTCCGTCTCTCACGAAATTTGCCCAGTTCTTCCCATCGGGCTTCAAAATGAGAAAATAAGCTTGTGATGGCCAGTAGGGGCACCCTAATATGCCGAAAGAGCCAAAATGTCGAGCCCAAGACAAGGTTCTGGACACCAAATTAGGAGGAGGCACTAACCATAGGGGATGTCCTGACCAAGCAGCTGTTGCGGGAAAAGCGTCGATCCCCGGGCACCAGCTCCTGGAAAAGAATCTTTGGCATATCGTATTCTTGTCATCTGCAAACATGTCAATCTCACAGTGTAGCCACCTCTCTTGTACTTTATTGGTCGTTCTTTTATTTACTCGCCAGCTGTCGAAATCTAACTGTCTACTTTCTTTATCCGCAAGCCTATTCTGCTCTCTTGGGATCCATTCTACCCTGGCTTCCACCAACCCTAAATGGCTCTGCAGCTCCCAGATGTCTTCTGCTTGTCTCTGTAGGCTCTCTATGTTACTACCAACTTTGCAAATCCTAAATGCTGCCTGGTTATCACACCTGACCAGCAGACCCCTGAAAGTGTGGGACCGAAGGTTAATAACCCGAAGTGTATCGCGGAAAGCTCTCTGCTCGTACTAGAGGCCGTCACAGTGTCTCCGGAAGGGTAGTGTGTGCTTTGATGCCACCGCCTTATTTGAGTACGGCCCCCACCGAGTGTGCTGAGGCATCCACTTCTATGATAAAATTGGGTTCGGGTGGCTTTGCTGGCGGGTACAGCGATACTGATATTCCCGTTGTAAGGCTGTCTATCCAGTAAGATATCTCCCTCCTTTCTCTGCTGGACAACGTCCACCTGTAACTGAGAGAACACTCACGAGATTGTGCCTCTGCCACCGATGCTGTCATAGCTCTCGATTGCCTCTTGTTCAAATCTGAAATTACTATGCTCAATGAAGCCAACGTGCCCATCCATCTCATCCTGGTATGTAAGGATGGAGCTCTCTCGAAAAGCATGCGCTTTAGTATAGCTAGAGCTTTTTCAGTTCTATCCACCATTGAGACCGAGATCTCATAAGATTTCAAATTTATAACGAAGCCTAACCATTTTGTCTCTGCTGCTGGCAGCCAGTTGCACTTCCCTTCTGCTTCAAACCATACCAAAACTTTTGAGATCTTTTCGAATGTCCTTTGATACTCTCTCGCATTCTTCCCTGGAACATCCCCATATGAGACCGTCATCCAGATACATTGCTATTCCCTTGCCTTCCCCTCTCCACTTTTTGATTAGTGGTTTGAGCAATTTGGTGAATATGTGGGCGGAGGAAAGGCCGAAAGGGAGAACTGTAAATTTATAGAGTGAGTTGCCCCATTCAAAGCCCAGATAACGTTGGCTGCGCTGCGCAACTCGGATATGGTGATAACCGCTCTTGAGGTCGAAAGATGTCGTATATCCCCCTG